GCAGGGCTATTCTGGATGAGATAACGCAAACCCAGGATCTCTTTCTGAATGGCGTACCCCTGAGGAAGACCATCGCCAAGAACATGGCTTTGAAGGAGAATGTCTTCATGATGGTGATCTGCATCGAGCTCAAGATTCCTCTCTTCCTGGTTGGCAAGCCTGGCAGCTCCAAATCTCTTGCCAAGACCATCGTGGCAGACGCCATGCAAGGCCAGGCCGCGCACTCGGACCTCTTCCGGAGCCTGAAGCAGGTCCACCTGGTGTCATTCCAGTGCAGCCCGCATTCCACCCCACAGGGCATCATAGGCACCTTCAAACAATGCGCCCGCTTCCAGCAAGGGAAGGACCTGGAGCAGTACGTCTCCGTGGTGGTGTTGGATGAAGTCGGGCTGGCAGAAGACTCGCCCAAAATGCCCCTGAAGACTCTGCACCCGCTGCTGGAAGACGGGTGCATTGAAGACGACCCTGCCCCCTACAAGAAAGTGGGCTTTGTCGGCATTTCCAACTGGGCCCTGGACCCCGCCAAGATGAACCGGGGTATCTTCGTGTCTCGCGGCAGCCCCAGTGAGAGGGAGCTCATCGAGAGTGCCAGGGGGATTTGCTCTTCAGAGCCCCTCGTGCAAAAAAGAATCCAAGAATACTTTGCAGCCTTTGCCAAAGCCTACGAAACGGTGTGTAAGAGCCAGGACAGGGAGTTCTTCGGGCTCCGGGACTACTACAGCCTCATCAAGATGATCTTTGCCGCAGCGAGAGCCTCCAGCACGGAGCCGTCCGCTCAAGGCATCGCACAAGCTGTCCTGCGGAACTTCAGCGGCAAGGACGACATCCACGCGCTGGACATCTTCGCAGCCCACTTGCCCGAGGCCAGGTGCGTGGAGGAGGTCAGCACCATGCAGCTCATCGGGCAGAACCTGCACAGCGATCGTCGGACGGTGCCCGGCAGAGAGCTGGACGACTCCGAGTCCCGCTATCTGCTCGTGCTGACCAGGAACTACGTGGCCCTGCAGATCCTGCAGCAGACGTTCTTCAGTGAGGACCAGCCAGAGATCATCTTCGGATCCAGTTTTCCCAGGGACCAGGAGTACGCCCAGATCTGCAGAAACATCAACCGGGTGAAAGTCTGCATGGAAACTGGCAAGATGGTGGTCCTGCTCAACCTGCAGAACCTGTACGAGAGCCTCTACGACGCCCTCAACCAGTACTACGTCTACCTCGGCGGCCAGAAGTACGTGGACCTCGGCCTGGGGACCCATCGGGTCAAATGTCGGGTTCACCCGGACTTCCGCTTGATCGTCATCGAAGAGAAAGACGTGGTCTACAAGCGTTTTCCCATCCCCCTCATTAACCGGCTGGAGAAGCACTACCTGGATATCAACACCGTGCTACATAAATGGCAGAAGAGCATTGTGGAAGAGCTCAGGATCTGGGTGGAGAAGTTCATAGATGTGAAAGAAGAAGGGAGCTCACTTGGACACAAATACAGCCCTGCTGATGTCTTCATTGGCTTCCACTCGGACACGTGTGCCTCTGTGGTGCTCCAGGTCGTAGAGCAGCTGGGGTGCAAGGGCTTGACTGGCGAGCTGTACCAGGAGGTATACGAGCAGGCCAAACTGGTGCTGCTGGATTGCGCCACGCCTGATGCTGTGGTTCGGCTGAACGCTTCCTCACTGGGCCGTTTCACCGCAACGTCCCTTTCTGAGGAGTACTATTACAGGCAGCAGCATAACTCCTTTGCAGATTTCCTCCAGGCTCACCTTCGCAGGGTGGATCCGGAGCGCCATACCGCCTTCACAGAGGTGACTGTCTTCCTTATTTCACCCTGACCCTCTCTCACCTGGGGTCCTTGAATCCCTAGCATCCAGAATCCGAAAGTCTTTGCAAGTCAGTGTATAGGAGCCATACATGGGTGTGTTGAGACTTCTGATTCCTCTCTGTGGTAAATGCAAGGGGACCTGCGTGCTTACATGAGCACCACATTCGAGTGCTGCACCGCGGACGCTGGGGATGTAGAGGTGGGTTGGCACAGGTCTTGACCTTGGTGAGCATACAGTGTAAGGTATGGTGAACAGATGCCGCCGATGAACGATAGTGCTGTCCACGGAGGCAAAGAGGAGTAACCAGGTCAGGATGGGAGGTCAGATGCACCCTTTTTTAAGAGACGACCCTCAGGCTGATCGTGAAGTATGGTTGGGAAAGCTTTATAGGCAGAGCGCCCTACCTAAGCAAGGGTGTCAAGGTGTGAAACAGCAGTCTGTGCAGGAAGCCGGGACAGGTGGAACTCACATTGCAAGGCTGTGAGTGCTGGCAGAGGGGGGTGGGCTGCAGCCCGAGAGACCTCATGGAAGGCCTTGTCAGTGGCACCACGGGACTTTGTGTTTCCTGTATAGAAGGGACTGATGGAGGAATGTGTGTGGAGATGGGTCCCACTGCCTGGGAGATGGAGGGGGGAAGTCTGATAAAAGACTCTAGAAAAGATAGACCAGTTGGGAGGCTGCTGTACCAGTTCGATCAAAGTAGAGGATGGATGGGTGGAACTGAGACACAGTGAAGGACTCTGCAAATTGGCAGAGGCCATGACTGGTTCCATCCAGGGGCTCCGGAAGATGGAGGAGCCTGGAGAGGATTCCCTGGATTCTTCCCTGGACGACCAGAGGTTTGGTTAATCACAGTCTAGGAACGAGCATCCAGTTTTGGGGAGGCAGGGGCACATTCCATTTGGAATGGGCTTTGACGTTCCTGTGACATACAGGGAGGCTGTCACGCAGTTGGATGTGGGAATAGGAAGCTGAGGGGTGAGGCCAGCTGGAGACAAGGATTCAGGACCTAGATGCTTTCAAGGAGTGTACTGGTTGCACTGTACAGTGTGATCCAGTGACGGAGGAGATCCGCTACGGCTGTGGGAAGCAAGGCCCACCAGCCAGCTCCACCTGAAAGTAAGATTGCAAAGGAGAAATGGCGTTCGTGCTGAGCCCTACGTGGTCATCAGAACTGTCAGCGGAGACCAAAGCAGGAAAAGGCGGCAGAGTCTAGGAAGGAGACTTGAAGGCAGAACAGGGTGCATCTTCTCCCCAAGCCTTTGATCCTGGATTTGCCTCAGCACTGCCTCTTCCGGGAAGACTCCTCTGGGTCTGGATTCTTATCTGTCTGTGTCCCGCCTGCACAGTGGGGACCCCGTAGAAGTTAGCTGTGGAACATCCTCATGTTTCTAGGATCTAAACCTAGCAGATGTGCAACCTTTGCTTGCCTTCCAGCGAATGATTTGCATTCCCTGCCTCTGCAGGTCACCACGTTCTCCAGGCTGCTGACCAGTCATGACTGTGAGCTTTTAGAGTCAGAGGTAGAGGACAGGGCTCCAAAACTCACGATCCTGTCACTGCAGCAGTTTGACACCGAGTACTCATTCCTCAAGGAAGTCCGGTGAGGGCCCCGCCTTCCGCGCCTGCCCCTTCTCCCCAGGCCGACCGCTTGGCGATTCGTAGGAGTGGCAGCCCCTGGTGTTCTCATCAGCATTAGTGGGCGCTGAAGACACGTGACTCTGGAAGGGCTGCTCTTAAGTTCTCCAGGTGTCCCTCGCCTCTCTGTTGCCCTCCGCAGGAGCACTCCTCTCTGAGCCCAGCCTCCTCCTGTCTTAGTGGGGCATTGTTCTTTCTCCACTGGGCTGTCTGCACCCTTTACAGAGGAAGATCCCCCCTGAAGAGTTTTTTCTCTGTATCCCTTACATTTCCCATCACGTTGGGGGTATTATGACCATTTTTAGGACAGAAAACTCACTTGGATAATTCCCTTTCTGTTTCAGCAACTGTTTAACCCACACAGCCAGATGTAAAATCCTCATTATTCAAACAGATTTTGAAGATGGAATTCACAGTGCTCAGCTCATCGCCTCAGCTAAGTACGTTTTGTCATGTTTCTCAGCAACTACGTGGAAAACCCCAAATTTATTCGGGAGCTCTTAAAGAATTTCTTCCCTGAAAACTGTATTGTATCAGAATAAACATAGAAATAAAAAAAATGATTCTCCCTTTTTTATAGAAAAACGGAAAGAGAAAAGGTTCGTAACAACACAAAAATGGTCAAATGAAAGCAGTGTAAAGAGAGTATTGGCAGGATTTAGAAGGGTGTCCTTGGAGCAAACGTTTGAGACGCGATTTGGTCATTATTCATTTTAAATTGCATGATACGAATTTATTGCAAGTTCAAGGTCAATAACGCAGTATTAAATGCTTTCATTTGTCTTTGTTGGACGTCTTTATAGTGTGCGTAAGGGAAAGCTGATCCTTTTAGCATTAACTATGTTCCCTTGTTACTTAATGTGAAGGTAAAAGTGATCTCTGGACCTTCTGAAGCATTGGAAGCATATGTTGTACCACGGCTGTCTTTGGCCATTGGCTGTCTGTTTGCAGAGCTCTGTTTCTTGACCTGGAAGGCCCCGCTAGCCTGACCCACCGAAGCATCAGACCAAGCCCATCAAGGATTGCAAGAGAGGGTTCCTTACCAATGAAAATGCCATTTCAAAGCAGAGTGACACAGGAATGGGGGAAAGAAATGAGCCTGCTTAGAGCGGACTTGCCCCCCTTCCCCGTAAGACCTCTCTGTGAGATGACAAGACAAATAGTGAAAACTATTTAAAGCTAAAAAAAAAACGTGAGGTTGAACGTGACAGCTCCGAGGACACCCTTTGGCCACTTACAGCTTCTCGGTTTCGGTTCTGATTTGTCATGTCTTTGCTGGCTTGTTTTTAAAATAGGTATTCTGCTATCAATGAGATCAACAAGATGCAAGGAAGCCAGGGCCGCATCTTAGTCTATTTCATCACAAAACTGTCCCGGATGGGAAGTGGAACGCCCTATGTGGGATCCCATGGAGGTAGGACTGAAATACTCTTGAATCTGTTTGTGTAGATAGTGTTCGAGTTGCTTCTAGTTGGTCCTATGCTGTGCCAAGTCTGACGTCAGAATGTTAATGTTAATCTCAACAATATTTGTCTCAGATGCGATTAGACGTCTTACCACTGATCAACGTGAAAAAACACTTGTCTTTGAACTGGCTGCTCCAGCGTGTAGCACCTCCTTCCCTTACTTGTAGGTAAACGTCGGTTAAGCTCTCAGGTTCCTCCCCTTTTACTGAACGGACAGTACAGAGAGCTGTTCCCGGCTAACACTGTTACGACTGCGCTGGCGCTTCGTGCCTGCAGCCGGGGTGGGAAGTGCCGTCTTAAGTCTCTCTCTTTTTCCCTGAGAAACGAGCCGCCAAGTGTTTACGGCGCTTCGTCTTACTGCACTGGCTTTATTACTCTTCGCAGGGGCTGCGCTTTTTACAGATCAGAGGTTTGTGTCCAGTCTGTTGGTGCTGTTTTTCCAACAGCATTTGCTTAGCTTGTGTCTCTGTGTCACACTCTGGTAATTCTTGCCATGTTTCAAACTTTTCCATTAGTATCATGTGTTATGGTGACCTGTGATCAGTATCTTTTAAAAAGAATTTTTTGTGGGGGTGGTAGTTCAGTTTGTTTGTTTATATTAACGGAGGTGCTGGGGATTGGGCCCCCGTCCTCCTGCGTGCTAAGCATGTGCTCCACCACTGAGCTCTACCCACCCATCTGATCAGTGACCTTTGATATCACCACGACAACTCTCTGAAGTTTCAGATGACGGTTAGCAGTTTTAGCAAAGAAGTATTTAGTTAAGGAGCATACATTGTTTTTAATATAATACAATATAGTGTACACGTAACGTTCATAGGCACTGGGAAACCAAAAACTTGATTTATGTGATACTTGCTTTGTTATGATGATCTGGACCCAGTCCCAGCGTGTCCCCAAGGTCTCTCCTGTGTAAGAAAACTGGTATTCTAGAAATGGACCAATAATGCTTTACTTCAGTAGCTTCATGGACAGTGGGAGACAAAGCATGCCAGCGACCCACACCCCTCTACTTATCATGGTGCAGCCAGTGTAATAACAAATGCATTTAAAAACCACAAGCCTGCTTTAGATACTTTTTTTCAAGTCAGTCATTTCAGTGCTTTAAGCTGCCTTCTGTTCTAACCTTGTGGCACCTACAGCGTGACATCTGTAGGGTTTCTGTGTGTGTTCAGTTAGGATGCGAATCATTCGTTCAGCAGCGTGCTGAAACGTCGGGATGGTGGTGTGTCCCCGCTTATGACTGACGGTAAGAAACCCGTGGAGACACAGAAGATTCTGGGGTTTGTTCCCACAGGGCTGTGGCAGTCTGTGCACATCGACGACCTGCGGAGATCCACGGGCATGGTTTCAGATGTGACTAAGCTGCAGAGCGTGACCATCAGCCAGCTGTTTAACCCTGAAGCTCAGGCTGAGTGTTAGTCCGGAGGGAAGGTCCTCCTCAGGGGAGCAGGGCGGTGGGGGCGGCAGCCGGGAGGTGCTCCCTGGGCTGCGAGGACGGGCCGTCAGGCTCCCACGCCCTTGAGTCCGGCACCGGCCCCTCGGCAAGACCTTGGGATACGTTTGCTGAGCTGAGCGCTGATGAGTCCAGGGCACCGTCTGCTGCTTTCCAAGGCCAAGAGAAGGCCGTACTTCCCAGGAAAAAGTGGGTCTTTGTGGATGCCTGGGAAACACACCAGATGCTCTTTGCCCTGGTTCCTGTGTCACCAGTCCAAGCCCAGGACGGAGGGACGGGTTGCCAAGGGGGGCCACATCAAGTGGGCGAACGGAGGCTGATCTGCTCTGCATGACTGACAGCCTCTCCTTTGGAGGCCCATGCCTGGAGCTGGTGCCCGGGTCAGTCTGGTGGTTAGAGCCCCAGCATGCAGTGTAGACGAGTTGCCAGTGCTCCCCTTCCGCCTCTGAACAGTAACGCGATTGTTCTGCTTCTCTGCAGTGAAGGTGGGACAAAGGGCCCAAGTCGACCATGAGGAGGAGATGGAAACAGAGCTGGTCAGATCAGGGGAGATGGCAGAGCTGGAAATGGAAACGGAAAGTCCTGGGGTGACCTCTGAGCCAGGGGGATGTGATGTGAGTTCGCGCTCTTTCCAGTCCTCTGGGCCTCCGTGCTGCTGGGCTGCCCTTCCTTAGACTTGCCCACTGTGGGTCCGAGGAGGGGCTCAGCCCAGTGCTCCTTCCCTGTACCCCTGCACTCCCCTGTCGATGAGGGTGAAGCACTAGCGCGAGGTCTGACATTGCCTCTCCCTGGCATCCCCTGGTCAGTTTTGCTCTGCTCCTTGACCACTGGCTGGGTTGAGGGACACAGGACCCTCTCGCAGTGGTTCCAAGGGGAACTTGGTGAGGGCATATGGGGGCAGCGGGCCCGCGGCGGGAGCTTTGGGCGGGAGGAGCACGTTGGCGCCTTGACCTGGTCTCCCAGGCGTCACCTGGCTCCACCTGCCGTGCAAGTGGCAGGAATGGAAGGCTCGTCTCTGTCGACAGACGCAGATCCTGGACACCACCAGGCTGCTGAGAAGCTGCATCCAGGGCGCAGTGGGCATGCTCAGAGATCACAGAGAGGGCTGCCAGCGCAGCATGCGGAGGGTGTCCATTCTCCTCAGCCTCCTAAACGAGGACGATGAATACAGAGGTAGGGCCCCTCTTGCCCACACCCCGGCCTAGGCTTCCCCTTGAGGCGGGGGACCCCTTCCCCGGCAGCTCTCCGTGGCTCCCACAAGCAGCTGGCCCCGCGGGAATCTCAGTGCACCCCCAGAATTTCTGCAGACCTGGCCTGACCAGAGGAGAGGGCTCCCTTCCTGCAGGGGCGGGTCAGCGTCCACCGCTCACTGCGGGGATGTGCTGAAGGCCCGTCTCCTCTGCTTCTCCGCAGCCACTTTCTTACGGGTCACCAAGATGCGCATCTGCGTCCTTTTAAAGAAGCAGGAGGAGAACTGCGTCTTCTTGAACACGAGGGACTGGGTGGTGAGGGCGGCCTCCAGCCAGGACGCCCTCCAGGAGGCCGGCACGTTCAGGTACCGCGTGAAGGGAAACCAGGACGGGCTGCAGAGGGGCTGCCTGGCTCCTCCAGCCGAGCAGAGGGCCCCAACATGCTTCCTTCCCAGCCTCTGAGAAACTCAGAGTGGTCGGGTCCCCCACTGCCCCCCAAGAGCACAGGGCGGTCTGGGTGGCAGCTATTTTGGGTTCGCTGGACTCTTTCTCTCCTTTCGTGTGTCTTTAAATGTTTTCATAACAAAACCCAGGACAAAACAAAACCAAAAAATCCCCAGAACGCCTGCTCTTGTAGGATGTAAATGTTTACCAGCATGCCCGTTGCTGTAGAAACGGATGCCGTTTTGGGTTATTAAATTAAGAAGGCGGTGAGCAGGGGAGGGAAGAGAAGTCATTTCCCCAGACCTCCTGCATGAACTTACTGGATATTTGCAAAAATTAAGACCCAGTGTATTCGTCTCTTGGTCGGGGCCGTTTTTCTACAACACTTGACGCTGTTCTCAAGACCAGCCCGTGACGGCCTGTGTGGCAGAGGGAGGGGACCACTCAGGGTCCCGGATGGAAGGTTTCGCCCACCCCCGCCGGCAGGTCGTCTCAGACCTGTGGCTTCACCACTCTGACCCTCGGTTTCCTCATCGCTGAAAGTTGACGTCATCCAGAGGCTTGGGGTCCGCTCGGTCACGTCACCTTCGTGCCGTCGGCAGGAGGACACGTGGGAGCATCCAGGGTTAAGCGGACCCTGTGAGCTTCAGGACGCTGCTTCCGTGGCCGTCGGGCCCTCCTGCTTTTCTCTTCCCACCCTCCGCTTCTTTCCTCGCTGTGCTTTCTGGAGGAGTTCTACCAGCTCAGATACGGAACCAGGATTACACTCATAGCCCTTGGTTCCTCTGAATGGATTTTACTAAAGGCTTGATTTTACATAAATGCTTCTCTTTTGTAAAGTTGAAAAAATTTTATTTTGTTTAGGGGAGAGGGAATTAGATTTATTTGTTTGTTTGCTTTTTCCGGAGGCACTGGGGATTGAACCCAGGACCTCGCACATGCTAAGCACACTCTGTCACTGAGCTACGCCCTCCTCCCGTAACTGCGCCTTAAAATCCGTACTGTCAGCCTCCGCTGGACTCCACCCCTTCACTCACTGAACTTCCCACGGGGCCAGTGTTCAGCAGCCCCGCTTCTTCCTGCTCCGCCGTCTGCTCTGGCGTCGGGACTGGCCTGGCCACACTCGGGGTCCCGGGGGTCTGACCGGCATCGGGGCCCAGGCAGAGCTCTGGGGCCTCCCACGACATTCTCACCATCCATGTGTTTTGACTTCGGTCGTTTGCCCTCTTGAGATTAAATAATCCAAATTGTGGCAGATTTTACACAGTCAGCCCTTCGTACCCACGGGCTCCAAATCTGAGGATTCAGCCAACTGCGTCTCGAAAATATTCAGGGGAAAAAAAAATCGAGAAAGTTACAGAAAGCAAAAGTGGAGTTTGCCATAGGCTGGCAACTATCTGTGTAGCATTTATACTGTATTTACATAGCACTGACGTTGCCTTAGGTGTCGTAAGTGATCTAGAGATGATTCAAAGTGTACGGGAAAGTGTGTGCTTAGCAGGCACGAGGTCCTGGGTTCAATCCCCAGTACCTCCAAAAAAAAAGATAAGCAGGTAGATATAACTGAAGTGAAAAGCAAAGTCCTGGGTTCAATCCCCAATGCCTCCATTTTTATAAATAAATACATAAGTAAATAAATTCTTAGTGCCCCCCAAACCAAAATGTAAAAAAACAAAGCGAACAGGAGGGTGTAAGTTGGTCCACGCACGTGCTGCGCCATTTTTCATAAGGGATTTGGGCGCCTTCCACTTGCAGGCGCTCACGCGGGTCCTGGGCCAGGCCCCGGGGCTCCGGAGGGCAGCTGTGCTGAGGCTTCCTGGCACCGAGTCACAGGTGCCGCTGCCCCCGCCTCTCCCGCAGACCGCTTTGCCCTTTGCTCTCCGCGTCTGCCACACGTTTTCCAGTTCTGTGTTTTTAAAAGGGAAGTACTTCTTTTCAAAACAGAGCCTGTGTTTTCCTCCCCAGTATGAGTCACCCAGCAGCAGATTTCTTCAGGCTTACCATGAGGACTTTGAAATGACTTACCAAGTTTGTTATTATGATAAACATAACAACACAGTGCGGTGCACTTAATACAAGCAGCCAGACGTACGCATCTGTACGTAGATATTCAGACCTAGTGCACTAAACTACCGCCAACAAAAACTCAGTTCTAGGTACGGTCGTGCGTTCTTCCTTACCATGACGTGGAATACACTTACTTTGGGCTGTTCTTTGTCACATTCTACCAACAGCTGATTTTTTTTCCCTTAAGATGACACTTTTTTTTCCAAATGAATTTGGTCATTCTTTCTTTATCGGTAGAGCCTGGGTGGCCTGTTCTGGCCAACAGCTATGTGACAAAGTACAACGAACACGGCTTGGCCTTTCCATCGACCTAATTGCAGTCCATTAGATGTAGAGTTCAGGACCATTCCGGTCCCGCCTCTAATCTGAGAAAGTTCCACGCGTGAGGCTCTCTTCTAAACCTGTGTTTTCATAGCTATAGCGCGGGCTTGGCAGAGCAGGTGTTTCATTACCCCCGAGAAGGCATGAGTGTGAGGGGGTGCAGGAAGCCCGCTGTGCTCTGGGGCCCTGTCGTCTGAGCGGGGCTACCTCTCCCCCGCTGCAGGCAGACCCTCTGGAAGCGGGTGCAGGGCGCCGTGAGCCCCCTCCTGGCCAGCGTGATATCTTTCGTGGACAGAGACGGCAACCTGGAGCTGCTGGCCAGCCCCGACTCTCCGTCCTGGGCGAGAGGCCTTTGGATGTTTATTTTCAGTGATGTCAACCTCCTGAACATTCCTCTTGTGACCACCAAGACGAGGTGAATGGAAGACTTTCTTTTTGTGGGAAGGGGGGAAAAAACCCTAACAGAGCAGCGATCTTAATAGGCTCTCCCAGGCATCTGATGGAAAGGGAGGATGGATTTTAGAACAGCATGCGAGTTGACTCTTTCTGCAGCTTGGAGGGGCATGGCATTCCAGTAACGGATGAGCGTTTCCTCGAGTTCTGAGAAGTCTTTGTTCCCTTCTTGCCTGTCCTCGGTTCCCTGTGCTCAGAGCACCCATTGCAGTTAAACTGGCTGGCTCCCACCCTGTCCACACCCAGGAGAGCTGGTTCTGTTGAGGCTCCCGCTCCTCCCGCCGTGGCGGCACCCGCACAGCCTACCCCTGCACCTGGTGCTGTGCCTCTCGAGCTCAGCGGCCCTCCCAGACGCTTCCTGTTTGGACCTCAGGGGGCTTTCGTGCTGGGGTGGAGGCTAATGTAGAACGTGCCGCCAGTGGAATTCTCACCCTCTCGTGGAAACACTGATTTAGGAGACAACAGCCTGTTGGTCATGAGAGAAGGAATCGCTGCTGACGAGGCGTGTTCTCTCTGCACAGGGAAAGGGCAAAGGTGGTGCAGGCCCCACCTGACTGCTTCTGCCCAAGACTTGAGGTGACCTGCTTGACCCCTTTCCACCGTGGTTTTTGTTTCGTCTGTAAAACCGAGAGATGGCATCATGTTGTCCTTGAGTTCCTTTATGACAGAGAAGCCCTGCAGCCCGCTGAGCACCCCAGTTCTTGAGGATGGAGAGGGCTTGGCATCAGGGTGGATGTGGTCTGTCTCGAGCGCCGTCTCACTAGCCGTATTCTTGGTCCTCCTCTGGCTGACGACAGAGCTCAGGGTGAGATGTCGTACATCATGGTGCAGAACTACATGGACCTTTCGGAGAACTCGTCCAACGCTGTCCCGTTTAGCTGGAGAATCAAGGACTACCTGGAGGAGCTGTGGGTCCACACTCAGTACACGACAGGAGAAGAAGGTGAGCCCAGTGGTGTGGTGGGAGGGGACCCTGCTCCCTGGCACGAGTTGTCATCCCTGTTCTGAGGCCCCTGGACAACTAGGGCACCAGGACTTGGGGTGTCCCCAGCTGAGTGCTTGTCAGCAACCGCCAGCAGCTAGAGTAGAGGTCTTCGTCCAGACGGAGCCTCGGCGTCCTCCTGAGTCTCATGGCACCTTGCTCTGCTGTCAGGTGCCAAGTAGTCTGGCCACAGGCATTCCAGGAAAACCAGCGATCACAAGCACTTTTGGGAAAGTCACCTTTCATACGTGAAAGAAGCTTTTCACAGTTTACGTGTAGTGCTGCCTTCTCCAAATACAGGCCAGAGACGGTTACTAGACTGGTGTGCATTCATTCACTCACAAGGTAGCCTTACAGTTCATCAGGTGGGCAGATGGCAGATCGCTGAAACTAACACAACACGGTACATCAACTGTACTTCAATTTGTTAAAAAAGGGAAAGACTTCCTTAAAAAGTATGAGTCGAAATACTTGAAGATGAACTAATTTTTCTAGGTAAGCGTCTACTGCTCTTTCTGAACGAACTTGAAGCAGTCTCTCTCCTAAGGAAAGAGTATTTCTCTTTCTCAAGGGCCGTACCCTAACTGGCCCTGCTTCCCGAAGACGGCACATGACCTGGAGGCCAGCACGCTGTCCACTAGGAGGCAGATCTTTCTGGCTGGAGCAGCACATGGCACCAGCCCCCAGGAAATAGCCCGTTCGTTCCTAGTTCCCTGGGTCCTGAGTTCCTGAAGCACTTTATGACTTGGTAGAAACAAACGTGGTCTGGCCCAGACCGTGTTATCTCTTGGGAACCAGCTAGGCTTTTGTGACCGAAATTTAACAGCTGTTCTGACTTTGTTCTGTTATTCTACTGGGGAAATGCCTAAAGGGTCCTGAAATGATGATAAAATCAGGCCATCTGCTCCCCTGGCAATGAAACCGTGTCCACATCAGCACGGTTGGTGGGTTAGGGAAGCCATGGTCGACACCCTCACCCCGACCTCTCCTCGTCTCCCGCCCCCGCAGGACTGGCAGGGAGGCTAGTGGACATCTTTCAGCAGACCCCTCTGGGCCGGTTCCTGGCCCAGCTCACTGGAGACCAGCGGCAAGAGCTGCTCCAGTGCTACGTGCAGGACTTCCTTCTCTTGGCCATGGGAGTGTCCACTTGGGAAGAGTTACAGGTAAGTGCTGGCTCGGGGGCAGGGGCGCAGCAGGAACAGGATGCCAGCCTGGGAGCCTTCCCTCGGCTCTTGGGGCTGAGCTGTGATGCTCGTGGGGCAGAACGTGGTCCAGCAGGACACAGGCGAGACGATGCGGCTCACACCCTCGGAACGCTTGGGGCCACCCTCAGCCCACTGCCCGGCACCCCTGAAATGTGGGCCTTCATTAGCAGGAGAAAGACCTCCACGTTTCCTGTGACGCTTTCCACGTACTTATTTAGCTTTTTCAGGAGGAGGTAATTAAGTTTACTCACCTGTGTGTGTATTTATTCACGTTTAACAGAGGCACCGGGGAGGAGGGGAGCCCAGCGCCTTGTGCATGCTGAGCGCGCGCTCTGCCTCTGAGCTCCACCCTCCTTCCTGGTACCCTTTTAAATGTTTAGTTTTTCTTGAAGAAAATTAGGTAACTATTTAACTGACCACCACAGGGAGATAATAACAATTTTCAATGGAAAGATTGAAGATTTCAAACTTTAGTACGTAAAAAAGGAAACTGACACGTTTGAGGAGAGCACACTTACGACCCCTGCGACTAAGGGTTAGTATGGTGTTCTTAGGAATCAACATGGAAATCCCCTAATCTTTAAAAAGCGGGTGAAAGTTATAAATTAACTGTTAACAGAATAATTACACAGATACCCAGGAAACATGGGGGGAAATGCTCCGGCTAACTCGTTAATCAGCAAGACACAAGCAGGTTTCAGGTACCTTTTGCTGGTCCCTGTGGCAAAGCTGGTCTCAGAAAGGCTGGAGGTTCCCCGCTGCCGACAGCGCTGTGGACAGCGTGGTGCTTGGACGTCTTTATAGAACCTGAGCTGCTGATTCCGTCCTGGGAGCGTTATCGGAGCCAGGGACACGTTTTATTCACGGGAATGTCCTTTTTAGTTTTGTTTCTGAAAAGGGAAGATTAGAGACAAGTTAATTGTCCAGAAGTAGAGAGGTGGACAAATTAAAGTACGGCCGCTGATTGGTTCTTCTGCCGCCATTGAAAGTGACGTCCTCCAAGCACACTTGGTGACAGACAAATGCTCGTAAAGTGGGGAAAAATCAGCGATGCACTGTGACCCCAGTTTGGGGACACCAGGGAAGTGGGGGCCGGTCTAGAAACACCCGGAAGGGCCGACACCAGAAAGCGATGCGGGGTGCTCACAGTGCTCCTGGTTTGTCACTTTCCTTTTTGTCTGTTTGAGTAGTCCTGGTTTTCCACAGGGAAGACACACCCTCTGTGTGTGCATGTGATTTGTGTACATGCAGTGAAAGCTTGTTTTCATCCCAGGTTCTGCAGATGGCTCTGTGGTCCTGCATCTATCAGCTGCAAGCAGGAAGGCCAGAGGAAGAGGTCTCCTTGCCATCTGTGCACCTCGCCTACCAGCACTTCAGGGGCCGGCTCCAGAACTTCTCTAGGATCCTGACTATCCATCCCCCGGTCTTACCCAGCCTAGCAGGAGCCACACAGAACCACAGCTGGGCTGCACGTGAGATGGTACGGTCCCTGCAGGCCAGCCTGGCTTCCTCATGCTCCCGTGGCCACCCTGGGAAGGGGGTGCTGGTGGGCCACGTTCCAAATGGGAGACATCTTCACGGGGCATTCATGTCAGTGTGGCTCAGAGGTTAGAAGGCATCGAACTCGAGCTGCCCAGATCCTAAGACAGAAGGAAGCTGCAAGCCTGGGACACAGGGACACACTGGGCCAACAGCCAGGGCCTCCGACTTAGTGTGCAGGGGACGGGCTGCTCGGTCACAGGCCTGTTGCCTGTCCCCCAGGGTCTGGACGTGTTGGCGGCAGTGGCCTGTGCTGAAATGCTGACCAAAGACCTGCTGAAGCCCAGTCCCCAGGCATGGCTGCAGAAGGTGAAGGACCTGTCCATGCCGCTGGAGCTGCTCTGCTCAGACGGGTACACCCAGGGCAGTGGGATGGTGAGCAGAGGCCTCATCCAGGAAGTCAGGTGAGACCCGGGAGCTGTGGGCACACGCGAGAGAAAGAGCAGATACTTCTGCCACGAGAAGGAGGACTTTCCTTGTTCACTGTTTAATGCCTGCTGAACCGTTATTAAGTGCGAGGCATCGTGTCGACCCTAGAGACGCAGGGAAGAACCTGCATTCAGGGAGCGATGGGCGTAGTAGATGTGAGCAGATTGTCATCATCCCGGGGGAGAGAGGCTGCACGGAAAGGGACAGCTGCAGAGGCCCCCAGCAGGACAGCAGGGCAGGCCGGGTGGCGAAGGGGGGCAGACAGTCAGGGCCGACTTCCGGGCGTCACATGCTGTGCTGGCCTTTAAGGGTGAGGTGGGACTCGCCGGACACAGGGGACTGAACCAGCACAGGTGGAGGCGCAGAGCGTGAGACCCCGAGGAGTGTCCAGGCTGAGTCCGGAGAGAAGGCTGGAGAGAGGCAGAACGGGGTGGGGGCCCGAGAGCACATCACAGAGGCCTTCGACCAGTCCTTTGCCCCACCTCCACCCCCGGTCCTTTTCTTACCTATCAGCTCCTATGCCTTGGAGCTGCCTCTCTGCCCACCTGTTTCTGTCTCAGGCCCTTTTGCCAGAGCTGAGCGAGGGACCCCCTCTCTTGACAGAACCCACTGGAGTCGCATTTTCTCTGTCGCACTTTTTGTGGAGCACGTGCTTCTGGGGACTGAGAGCCAGGTTCCCGAGCTGTGCGAGCTGGTGACCGAGTACGTCTTCTTGCTGAACAAGGTGAGTCTGCAGGCTTGGCCCGGCAGGTGCGGATCTGCCTCTTTGCGAGTCGGGGGACGGCTGAAGTGTGGCCTGACTTTAATCTGCGGGGTGGTACAATCCCTTTCCGCTCTGACGGTTTTCTCTGGAAGTGCAAAGGAAAGTGATTTCATCACACAGGCTGTTCAGGTTTCAGTGCTTAATGTTTTAATTTTTACCCTCTCTGAGTGCTAAGTCAGGGCATATCATTTAAGGTTCCTTGCAGGATAGGAACTATT